ATCTCTGCCTCTGGGTTTCACCAATTTCATTTTTCTCATCCCCTCTCTCACGTTCTGTCATCGTCTCTGCATCAATGTCCGTTACAGAAAAGGAGAGGTGGAGGAGAAAGGCACTGAACAGCTGCAGGCCACTCAAAAAAAAAAAAAAAAAAAAAAGAATGTGGACATTTGTGAGGGACACTATTTGGCCTACACAGAGGCCACATAAGTGGGGAAATAGAAAATCTAAATTGGTCAGGCGACCCACATGATGAAGAGGCAAATTCCCTATCCTCTAAGTGGAATTTCCTTAAAAATTCCAGCAGACTTTTTTTGGGGAGGCAGAAATTGACAATCTGATTCTGAAATCAAAGTAGAAATGCAAAAGCCCTGATATACTACAAAAAAAAATTTTTTTTTTGTTTGAGACAGAGTCTCATTCTATTTCCCTGGATAGAGTGCTATGACGTTGTTTGTCATTACCTTGTAAGGTCTGTCCTTTTAATTTTCGCCAGTTTGGTAGGTGTATAGTAATATCACATTACAATTTTATTTTTTTTGGGGGGGGGACAGAGTTTCACTATGTGCCCTCAGTAGAGTTCTGTGGCGTCACAACTCACAGCAACCTCAAACTCTTGGGCTCAAACAATCCTTTCACCTCAACTTCAAGTTGGTCTTGAACTCGTGAGCTCAAGCAATCAACCCATCTTGGCCTCCCAGAGTGTTAGGATGACAGGCATGAGCCACTGTGCCCAGCTACCACAAAAATTTTGAAAAAGATAACTATACTACCTGATGGCAAGAATTATTGTAAACCTAAAATTATGAAAATAGCTTAGCATTGGGATCAAAAGCAACAAAATGAATAGAGTCCAAAATTAACCCAAGTATATGTTCAGCTGTTTTTTTGACCATAATGCCAAGGACATTCAGTGGAGAAAGTATATTTGTAACAAATATTGCTGGAAAAATTGGATGTCTAGATACTACAAAGGAACTCTGATCCATACCTGCAAAAATTCACTCAAAATGGCTTATAGCACTAAACTGGAAACCTCAAACTATAAAATCGCTAGAAGGAGACATAGGATCAAACTTTTCTGGCCTTGGGCTGGGCAGAATTTTTAGATTTGACACTGAAAGCACAATCTATAAAAATGATGATAAATTCAACTTCATCAAAATTAAAAACCTTGACTCCACATAATACAAGGTTAAGAAGATAACAAGATGGGTGATGCCCATAGCTCAGAGGGTCACATACACCCTCCTCACATACACCCAACCTGGGCCAGCTAAAAAACAATGACAACTGCAACAACAAAAATAGCTGGGCGTTGTGGCAGGTGCCTGTTAGTCCCAGCTACTTGGGAGGCTGAGGCAAGAGAATCTCTTAAGCTCAAGAGTTTGAGGTTGCTGTGAGTTGTGATGCCATAGCAC